TCTCGGGTCGGATGTGCTGAATCCCACTTACATCCAATGTGTCAAGGTATCATACAACACAATCACTCACTCACACATACACACTCACACACACTCATGTTCTCTCCTCTGCCTGTGTGTGTTAGAGGTTGCTGGAGCTGCGCTGCTGTGTCGGGATCATCGGAGGGAAGCCCAAACATTCCCTGTTTTTCGTGGGATTCCAGGGTGAGTCATGTGACACACGTGTGAGTCTGTGTGAATCACTCATCATCATCATCTGTGTGTGTGTGTGTTTCTGTGTGCCTCATGCAGACGATCAGCTGATATATCTGGATCCGCATTACTGTCAGGCTGCTGTGGACGTCAAACAAGACAACTTCCCTTTGGAGGTGAGCGGGTATTTACAGGAGAGTTCGCTAGAGAAGTAATGTAGTCGCCCTTAAAATATTCAGTCCAAAAAAATCTGCTGCAAATTATACTTGTGCATATATTTATAATGCTTGCTATGGTGTTTTTTGTACTACAGGGTTATTATAGTTAAAACTATTGATTGAAATCAGGGTTATTTTAATATCACTGATATACAGTCTAACCAAAATGTGTTCCGACACCTTCAACGTTTCTCACATTATCAGTTTATTCGCTGTCGTTTATAGAAAATGGTTATGAAATTTGATCAGAGTGATGAGATCAGTGGATATTTCACAGGTTTTTTCCGTCCTTCTGTTAGACTCTTTCTCGTGATGTTGAATATCTGTCAGCTGATAAATGTAACTACACTATTACATAATACCAGTTTGGCTCAACCTGTGACCAAGCAATGCTTCATGTTTGTCAGTCTGTGTGTATAAATGTGCATTAGCAATAAATAAAACACACTTAAGCATGATCAGGTCAAAGTGTCTGAATAATTTTTGCCCCAAATGTTTATAAATGTTTCTGGTAGTCACTGTATGAAGAACCTTTATAGATGGATGGATGGATGGACGGACGGACGGACGGACGGACAGATAGATAGATAGACAAGTGGATGGACAGATAGATGGACGGATAGATAGATAGATAGATAGATAGATAGATAGATAGATAGATAGATAGATAGATAGATAGATAGATAGATAGATAGATAGATAGATAGATAGATAGATAGATAGATAGATAGACAAACGGATGGACGGATGGATAGATAGATAGATAGATAGATAGATAGATAGATAGATAGATAGATAGATAGATAGATAGATAGATAGATAGATAGATAGATAGATAGATAGATGGACAGATAGATAGATAGATAGATAGATAGATAGATAGATAGATAGATAGATAGATAGATAGATAGATAGATAGATAGATAGATAGATAGATAGATAGATAGATAGATAGATGGACAGATAGATAGATGGACAGATAGATGGACGAATAGATAGATAGATAGATAGATAGATAGATAGATAGATAAATAGATAGATAGATAGATAGATAGATAGATAGATAGATAGATAGATAGATAGATAGATAGATAGATAGATAGATAGATAGATAGATAGATAGATAGATAGATAGATAGATAGACAAACGGATGGACGGATGGATAGATAGATAGATAGATAGATAGATAGATAGATAGATAGATAGATAGATAGATAGATAGATAGATAGATAGATAGATAGATAGATGGACAGATAGATAGATAGATAGATAGATAGATAGATAGATAGATAGATAGATAGATAGATAGATAGATAGATAGATAGATAGATAGATAGATAGATAGATAGATAGATAGATAGATGGACAGATAGATAGATGGACAGATAGATGGACGAATAGATAGATAGATAGATAGATAGATAGATAGATAGATAAATAGATAGATAGATAGATAGATAGATAGATAGATAGATAGATAGATAGATAGATAGATAGATAGATAGATAGATAGATAGATAGATGGATAGATGGACAGATAGATAGATAGATAGATAGATAGATAGATGGACAGATAGATAGATGGACAGATAGATGGACGAATGGATAGATAGATAGATAGATAGATAGATAGATAGATAGATAGATAGATAGATAGATAGATAGATAGATAGATAGATAGATAGATAGATAGATAGACAGACTTCAGACTTCCTGATTTATAACACTGAAACAAGCGTTTTCTGTAAAGCTGAAAACTTTAAAACTTGCTTATCATTAAGACACTGTACAAGAAAACTTGAATTGAATTCAGTTATAATCCAAATTTGAATCCAATATATTAATGCCTGCGTTGTTCGTCTGTGTGTGTGAGCAGTCGTTCCACTGTAAGTCCGTCAAGAAGATGTCGTTCAGCCGCATGGACCCGAGCTGCACGGTGGGCTTCTATGCCCGGAGCAGGGATGATCTCCTTACTCTGTGCTCAAACGTCACGACGGTGAGACACACACACACATTCACGCTGCAGAACTGAAGCGTTTCGGCCTTTCATTTTAAACGCCTGCGACCAAAAAAAACAAAATCATAGAAAACGCACCGATAATAAAATTATCATTAATGTTATAGTACAGATTTTTTCACAGTACAATATGTTTTTAGTTGCATTTTTCCATTACTATAGTAATATTTCTTTGATTTTAATTTCTATAGAGCATTTCACAAGATGTAAACAACACTGGTCCGGAAGGTTTTTAACACTACATAAAAGCTGGGATAAAATACAACCAACAGAACATTAAAACTGAATTAAAAAGTTAAACAAACATCTTTAAGATGTTTTCTTTACATGTGAAATAAAGAAAACAGTTACAAACTGAAACAGGAAGTGTTTCTGGACCAGTGTTGTTTACATCTTGCGAAATGGTCTATATTTAAACAAAAATAAATCTGTAAAACAGTAAAAAAAAAAAAAGCATGAGGTTCTTGTACTATGGTTTGTTTACAATCTAAATTAATAAATATTAAAAATTATTATACTTTGTTCTGTAAATCAAAATTGTTATTATTATAATTATTAAATACATTTTTTATTTTACTGTACAATATCATTATTACAAAAAATATTTCTTTATTGATGTATAAAATGTATAATTCATGTCTAATTTTTTAACAAATATTATTAAGTTTATTAACAAAATAATAATAATATTTATTGTCATTACTTCTATTCTTTGTCACATTGTTCACCCCTGATGAGTTGCAATATCCACCCCGCTCCCCCTCTCCTAGGCTCTGAGCTCCTCGGGGGAGAAGTACCCCATATTCACGTTCGTGGAGGGCCACAGTCAGGAGCAGAGCGCCTCACGCCCTCACACAGAGACCACTGGCAGACTCAAACAGAGGAGCAGCGTGGACGATTTTGTGCTCCTGTGACACCCAGACTCCACTTCCTGTTTCTTACTCGAGGACTTCCTGCAGTTAGTGTCATGTGACAGGGGCTTTCACACTCGCTGTGGAGGAGTGTCCCCGTAACAGATGGCCAGTCATTAGCAGGGTTTTTCCGAACTCCTGCTGTTGTTTTCTGTTCTTCTGGAGCTGTCGTGTGCAGACACTCCACGCTGGAGGATGTGACGTGCGCTCCTGAACAGGTGGCTAAGCAGATTAACGCGAGTGATGCTAATGATAGCAGACAGCGAGGCTCTCGGACAGACTTGACAAACATGGGATTTAAACACTGTCATTTAGTCTCCTTTTATGGATTTTTCCGTTCACCAAGTCATGTTAACTTCTCTGGTAAAGCACTGAACAACCACTACTGAAAACATGATTTTACATTCACAATACATGTATCGTTTTTCTGAACAAGCTTTTTATTTTTAAATAAATAAATAAAATATTGAACAATGGTTTGGGAACCTAAATTTGGGAAACCCAGTTCTAGCTTTATTCTATTCTTAAATGAAAAAAAAAAAATATATGTGTCACTTTTCATCTGAAGTCACAAACTCCTCCCCTTCCAACTCCCTGTCCAATAGAGAATGGCCTAACCTTGTATATTTGAATCATTAATGTTAGAACTTTTATATTAGCCAATATAGAACTTTTCAGCCAATTTTATGGTCTGATATTGCAGCATTTCGACACCAGTTCCTGTTTACGAAAGAAAAACCAATGCAGTTCATTTAAGGGCAATTATGTCCTGATTTATACCCTAAATAGGGCACCATTTGAGGGAACAGCCATTTATAGTGGTGTCTGAAACCATAGTGGACGTTATCGAGTGTCACTAACGGCTTTAATACCCATAATGCACTGTGAGTCAAATGAATTCCCGTGTCTGACCAGAAGATGGCGCATACACCTGAAAGATCCATTCATTTTCCAAACCGCTGGTCCAAGGTGGGTACAGTGTAACATCATACAGGTATAACTTCTTTATTAATTGATTATTAGATTGTTTAATTAAGGTTTATACGTGCTAGTTTTCATGACAGACTCCAAGATAAATCTTTTCATCTTCGTCAGAATCACAGGATCACCATCAAGCTAATTACCTTTGAGCTGTGAATGTAGTGCAGGCAATGTTTATATGGTTGTCAATGAATGGGACACTACATTTTTTATATACATTGGATAATAATTAAATGTCTTAATGTAAACTTTTTGGCTTTGATCAAATTTCCCCAAGAAATGGGCATGAATGAACCCGCCATCCTCAGATGAATCCTCTTCTTTCTCACAGCGAAGCCATTGAATGCTACAAACTTCAGACTTCAGAAGTGGGAAGTATGACACGTCCGATCGCATGTGAAGGCAGATCCTCCAGGAGCAGGACTGAACACCCTCTGGATCACAGCCGGGCTGGATGTGTGAAAATATCAAGTAAGGATGGATGCGCAATATATCGGCCATCATATCGGCCATCCACCGATATATGTCTATTTTTAATGTTATCGGCCTGATAAAACAAAGTTGACAGATATATTAAAGCTGATAAATGATTATTTATTTCCTTCAGCTGAGACCCTTCAGACGTGCACTGTTCAACATGTGCAGCACAAATCTATCATATCGGCTACATAAAATAATGAGAACATTATATTTGTGTTTTTGAGACATGGCTTTTAATGATGAGACTTTTTGTAATCAAGCTCTCAAAAATTACATAAGTATATCGGCCCAAAATCGGCTTGTAAAGAATTATCGGTTATCGGCCAAAATGTTCATATCGGTGCATTCCTAATACCAAGAGTCTCTTATCCCAGTGCATCCATCAGTTGAACTTGTGCAAGTCCATAATGTAGATGTTTTATCCAGGACTGGTGTTCTGGTGTTTCCATCTTGGTTCACCTCCACCAGACCTGGGGCCCGTACCATGAAGATAGTTGAACAAACTCAGGGTTACATGGGTTAGTTTCGAGTTGACCAATCCAACCAGGCGTTGCTGGTACCATGACACCGATGATCAACTTTCTCTGTTGACTATGGCGGTGAACTCTGCTTAAAGCCAAACCTCTTTCATGTTACCTAAAAAAAATCCAGGGTTGGCGCAAACTAAAAAAACATACCTGGATATGAATACATCGGTTATCGGTAATATATCGGTTATCGGTACCGGTCAACATTTTTTATAAATCAGTGCATCTCTAATGCCAAGAGTCTTTTATCCTAGTGCATCCATAAGTTGAACTTGTGCAAGTCCTTAATGTAGATTTTTTTCCAAGACTGGTGTTCAGATGGTGCAATCTTTCCATCTTGGTTCACCTCCACCAGACCCGGGGCCCGTACCATGAGGATAGTTGAACAAACTCAAAGTTACAGGGTTAGTTTCGAGTTGACCAATCCAACCAGGCGTTGTTGGTACCATGACACTGATGATCAACATTCTCTGTTGACTATGGCGGTGAACTCTGCTTTTAGCCAAACCACTTTCATGTTGCATAAAAAAGTCCAGGGTTGGCGCAAACTAAACAAACATACCTGGATATGAATATATCGGTTATCGGTAATATATTGGTTATCATATCGGCCAACATTTTTTATAAATCAGTGCATCTCTAATGCCAAAAGTCTTTTATCCTAGTGCATCCATCAGTTGAACATGTGCAAGTCCTTGATGTAGACGTTTTATCCAGGAATAGTATTCAGATGGTTCATCTCGGTTCAGCTCCACTAGACTTGGTCCACTTCTGAAGCACCCAAATTAAGACCATTTGAGGGTTCAGTCGGCCGGAGCGGCTCTCATATCTCTCCCGTACTGCTTGAAGTACAAGTGCGAGTGATACTGAAGCTCAGGCAGCATCATCCGCACGCAGAACCCCTGATCCTGCAGTGAGAGGTTCCCCCGCACCTCGAACCCCACGATGGTGACCGACTCCGTCTGCCGTGGACGCAACAGATCCTCGAGCTCCGCCGGGGGAACCGACTCCCTGGCGACGCATCTCCGCCGAATCCTCTCCGTAGATTCCCTGAGTTTCTCCGCCTCGGCTTTCAACCTGTCCAACCCGAACTGACCCGCCTTCTCCCAGAACACCTGCAAGAAGTAGTCGTAGAGAAGTGTGTCCAGGACGTTCCACGAGCGCACTTTCGCCCGCATGTTCTCATCAAGCTTGGTCACGTGGTTCTTGGCACGAGCATTGAGCCGAAGGTAAGCCAAGTCCTCGTGCTCCAATCCCAGAAGAGCTCCTAACAGAACCAAGGATTCGTCGAAATGCTCAGCGATCATCACCAGGTGGAACGCCTCCTCTAGTTGCGCAAGGTCCTCCGGCCAGGAGCCGTTCCACTTTTGGTTGTTGAGCCCCATGTCGAAGCTCATGGGGTTCTTGGCTAGTCCGTTCCCAGGTTCCTTTGGGTCCCAGAAGGTCTCCGGAGAGTCCAGGAACGCCTTGAGAGCGGGTTTGCCTTCACTGGCGGCGGCTCGGTGTGCGCTGAGGAATGCCGGGACGCTGGAGGTGTGGTACCTGAAGACCGACTCGAAGGTCTCGATCGGGTCTCGCAACAGCGTGATGAAGACTGTGTTCTGGGGCATCACCTTCCTCACCTGTGTCAGGTCCAAACGCATGTGGCTGCACAGCATATCAAACTGAGACGAACCCTCGGGGAGCTCGTCCACAAATGCCGCTCTGAATCTGAGACAGAGAGAGATAGAGTCAAGAGCTTGTTTGGTTTAAAGCTCATTAACCTTTGAACATCGTTTAATGGGATGAAAGGGGAGGTCAAGAATACATTGTTAAAGACTGACTTGCTTGATCCATCTACTCTAGAGAAATGTTTATATTCAGTGAGCGAGTTATACACTTTCAAGACATGTTTTTAAGGACATTTTTGGAGGCTCTTTAAATTCTGAAATGGGTTCAATCTTAAATGATATTTTGGGATCTTAGATTGATTAGCGTGACATGGCTAGTTTGCTGTCACGTTCATCTTTCTAAATCATACATTTCTAAACGATCATCGTTCAGAGTAAATCATAAGTATATCGTTATATTACGGTGAAACATTTTTGAAGGCTCTTGTGGGCTTGCATTTTTATCACATTTGTCAATTGGCACCCTTTATTGATTGGCATATTTAGCATTCTCCAGTTAGCACAAAGCTGTCACTGATCTTTCTCCATGGAAAAGTATATCGGTGAATGCTAGCAATCCAAGAAACATATCAATCATACTGTAAATAATTCATCATTTTATAGTATATGTGTTTTGGAGGCTTTTATGGACTTCCCAAGATTGACTATAGCATAGTTCAATTAGCCCCATGCATATTTTCCTCTTGGCAGTCATTCAAAAGTAGCCATGGATGCTAACAAAATACTTTGCAAGTAATGGATAAATTGTTCATTATATTTTAGAAGGTTTTCAGAGGTTTTGTAGGTTGTTAAAATTTTGAAATGAACTTGTAGTTTTCTTAAATTGTCATTTTTGCTACCCTAGATTGATTAGCATGCTCCCTTCATGCTGCCAAATGTGTTTCCCTTTCAAAACTAGCCATGAACTGTGCTAGCAAATAAACCAATTTGAAAGCAACACATAAACCGTATTTAATTTTCATATTCATTGGTTTTGGAGGTGTTTGTGGATTTTAAACCGTCTTTTGGCACATTTGAATGTTTAGCATGGCCGTCAAAAACATATTTACCCATTGACCGCAATTCAAAAGTAACCATGGACTCTTAACAAAATATGCTAATAACAACCGGAGTAATCTTTCTTTACTTGACCCTTGTACGTTTTTCAGTTAGTTGATGTGTTTTGGAGTCTCTTAAAAGTGCAAAATGCGATGAATAGGAAGAAGTACTTATAATGCATGTGGTTGAACAGACCTGAAACATCGTTTGGGAAGTATTATGTGCCTCATGCATTGCGATTGTACCTGTCTGGATAGTTAAACTGGTAGGTGCGGTGCGGAAAGGCAAAAGTGGCGCTCTCTTGTTCCCCGAGTCGAAACAGTATGTTCTGCACGGTGCTGCTGCCGGTCCGGTGTGTTTTCAGGAAGACCACGGGCGGCTGAGCTCTCCTGCGGCGCTCGGCTCTGGCCGTCGGTGTGTGTTTGGCCGGTTGATGTGGGATTGGAGGGGTGTGTTTCTCAGCAGCTTTTCTCTGGCTCCTTCTGTCTGATGTAGGTCTCAGTTCGTGAGCTCTGTATGGGAGAACCTTCAGGTTAGATGTGGTATCATTAGGATCTGAGCCAGTGCTATTTTAGTAATTGCTGTCAAATTCATATTTCTGCATTGACATAAAGATTAATTTTTTTAAATTAGTTTTATCTAAACTGCACGTTGCTCTGTATTTTCCTTTTTTGAAGTGATTCCAATCATATTTCAAGCAATTTAAACACTGCGCATCTGAGGTGTCTCAGCTGAAGGGAATAATCTATTATTTATCAGCATTAATATATTGATCAATTGACCATGTCTGGTTTAGTACACTTGAAAATATTGTCATCGTTAACTCACCCTCAAGTTGCTCCAAACCAGTATGGATTTATTTCTTCTGCTGAGCACAGAAAGTACGGTAACCAAACAGCATGGACCCCATTGACATTTACAGGAAAAAAATACAATGAAAGTCAATGGGGTCCATCAACTGTTTGGTTACCGACATTCTTCAAAATATCATTAATTCATCATCATTTAAAATATTTTTTTTTGTGTTCAGCAGACCATAGGATATTTATACAGGTTCGGAGCAACTTGAGGGAGAGTAAATGATGACAGAAATTTTATTGTTGGGTGAACAATCTCTTTAAAAAAGTAAGTTCACCTTACTTTCATAAAGTTGTTCCAACTTAACTTGTCAAATTGAAAATACATTATATTCGAAGTAATGAAATGAGTTACTCAAAAAGTTGAGTGAACATATACACTGTAAAAAATATTGTTGGTTTAACTTAAAAATTAAGTAACCTGGTTGCCTTAAAATTTTAAGTTGATTGTACTGGAAACAAGTTAGTTAATACAATGAAGTAGATTGATTTAATCATCAGAAACTCAAAATAATAAGTTATCTGAACTAAATAAATTATTTAAGTTGATTTGACAAAAGAAAAAATGTTGTGATTAACAAATCTTGAAAATATTTTTTTACAGTGTACTTATCAAAAACGTTAAAAAGAAAGTTCACCTGCCAACTAAACTTTACATTTGTCAAGTTGAACTTACTTAATATTTTAAGCAAATGGAACTCAACTCAAAAAGTTAAGTTGAGCGAACACAAACATTTTTTTTTACAGTGTGAATACTTGTAAATGTAATGTACAATGTAAATACTTGAAAGTACGAAGTACATTATATTATACGCAACGCAAGCACTTACCACAAGACCAGGCCGGATTGCTAACCATGTTTGAGTCCAACTTACTTATTTTCAAGTGTGACTTCCTAGTACACAAACCCAATTCGGAAAACAGCTTTAGCAATGAACCCAAACCCCATGAGCAGTGCTTCATGCGGTCTCTGCTGTGATGTTCAGACAACACCAGTTAAACAGAGTGTGGTCCACCAGAAGACTTGCTAGCAGGTTCATTTGAACCTTCATCCAGAGAGCCAGTGCTATTTAAAAGTTTTAGTCTTTTTAGTTTTAGTTAACCCCACAGAGATAAATAGCTCTAACGGTAAATCATGAATCTCTAGCAACGCATGGGTTCATGGCTTTGATTCCTTATGCATGATATGTAACACCTTTGGATAACTGTAGTTGGCGTGATCTGGCAGTATTGCAGTGTTTGAGTGTGTTACCTGTTGTTCTGCAGGGAGTGTGTGGCCAGAAGCGTCAGGAGCAGGAAGACCAGCAGCGCCGCCAGTAAAGCGCTCACCCGATGCCTCCACAGCCAGCGCAGGCCCATCTCCACTAACAGATCTTCAGCTCTCTGTCTGAGTGTGTGTGTGTGTGTGTGTGAGGATCTGTCGGCCTCCTCTCCCCTGTTTAATCCTGTAGGCCGGATCAGGAGAACACGCCCACACCCCTCACGGCTTCTCTCTTTTCTCCCTGGGATCTGTGTGGGGTTTTCTTTGTTTTTAAACGGGTTGGTTTAACATCATGGTCAAGTTAACCATAATGACAACATGAGGGAAAAAATCCTTAAAAATTCAGATAAAATACATTAATTATAAGCAGCACATTTATTGCAAATATTTTTCTTTATTTTGTTGATGTTTTTTTTTTTAAATGGAGGCTCTGCTGTCTTTGCCTTCACAGATCAGGACAGTCACTAGTAGTGAAGCCATTGAGAATGTCCTATATGCCATGTATGTTAGGGTGAACGAACATACTATAATTTATTATAGTATAATCAGTGACTGTTGATTGTTGCACAGGCTGACTGGAGACTTCTTTCCATAGACTGGACTGAGATATGATGGATGTTTATCAATGGCGTCCTCTAGTGGTGGGTGAGTTATCTCAGCATTACTCTCTTCATAAGTAGACATACAGTAATTAAAGGCACAGTATGTAAGATTTTTTGATTAAAATATCCAAAAACCACTAGAACATCGTTTTGCTGATTTGTGTACTTACATCATCCCAAATGGTTCTAAGAATGTTTAAATCCAGAGAAATTAGCAGTTTTAATCATGACACGGACCATGTCCATGCGTAGCCTATCAGTGACGTCATACCTGCGTTACCCTTGTTTTCCGGTTTTATTTTGTAGAAACCATGGAAAGAACCAACGATGCTTAAACATATGTGTTTTATTAGACATGTGAGCAACTGTTTGGATACATTCACTGAGAGAAAATTAATTATTGACTAACACAGTTAGTCTTTTTGCTTCAATCTTGTTTTTTTTACTGCGAGTACCATGTGTACCATGCCTAAAAGGGATCTAGCTTCTAGATCACCAAGCGAATGCACAAAGTAGCATTATAACAACTTTCAACACACTCCGATGTGTCTAATATGATAGATCAGTGCTGCGTTACCCCATATACGCCTTATAACAACCTCTAGTGGCGAGAAATTATATTGTGTGCCTTTAATCATGTGTGTTTGTTTTTTGTTTGTTTAATCTAAAGCAGAATATGCCACATTTCATGCCGTAATGCCTCTGTTATGATGCAAGCTAATTTGCATGTTTTTGTGAGAGACGAGTGCATGTATGCAAATAAATCTTTCTTGGAACTAATTACTCAGACACTTCATCGGGAATTCACACGAAAACTAATTCCAGCTTCACTCGATCAACTTGTAAAATGTAGTTGTTTCGGTTTTACTTGGGTAATTATTACTAAAGTTAGGCTACTATTATTATTAATGATTAAATACTATTATTAAAGAACATACATTTCACCAATAAATTAAAAGAAAGGATATTTTGCATTAAGAAAATAAAGCACATTTTAGCCCCATTATGAATATGTTTACATTGACATTTTAAGCACATTTATACATAATTTTGTACCATGCATCATGATAATATTTGTTATTTGTTTATAATACATATAATAAACATATATTTTTAATTACATTTTTGTTTTTACTGTAGTTAAGTAATTTAATCAACATACATTCATTTCATTACCTACATCAAAGACAAATATTATGAAAATTTAAATAAAATTACAGTAGGCCTCTGAATCTTTTTTAAGCTAAATGCATTATATGCATATTTTTATCATTTGAATTTGAGGTTAGCTGAAGATGTCCTTGACCGGTTTCATGAGACTCGCCCACGCGTGCATCCTTTTGTAATTTACTACACGAGTTGATCTTATTCACTTGTGACAGTTCATGCCAACTTTAAAGGTCAGAATTCCCAGCATGCATGACTGAAAAGATTGTAAACCCTCACTTTTTTGAGCCTTTCATGCATAACGTGTCTCTCATCATTACAGACTCCACACCTCACTAGTGAATTTCACCTAAAGAAACCAATCAGATTTTACATAAGGAAACAAATAACGTCTAATTTGCTAACAATGAGCTCGTTACTGCGTTTATTTATCATTGTTAAAGTTGGTTTGTAAAAATAGGTTACAATTGTTCATTGTTTGTGCATGTTAGTTCACACTTCACAGTGCATTAAATAATGTTTACTTTGGATTTTGAAGAACGGTTAATATTGAATAAGATTAATAAATACTGTAAATGTTTTTTACATAGTCAGTTCAAGATAGCTAGTTCACATAAATGATACCTTTTTAACAATTGTGACATTTTTATAAGCAAATTCTCATTACTGTATTAGAACAATATATTGATTATAATGCGTCAAATTTATGTTTTCCCATTTTTCTCAGTTTTTATGTTTTTTATCGCAGCACAAAACATACTTACAGTCTAAAACTTATCTTATCTTATCTTAAAAACTTATCTTATCTTAAAACTTATCTAAAAACATTACAATTATTGGCATATTTTCCTAAACGTTAAGAGATTTCTTACTTTAAAAAAGTGAAAATCTGGAGTTTAAATGTCCTTGACTATTGTGAAAATAATGACATTATGTGGAAAACCATAATGGTCTTCATTCTCTTCATGCAAAGTCTAATCACTTATGTGTTCTGTTGAATTTATATTGAATATGAGGATGTTCTTGACAGGTTTCGTGAGATTTGTGACACTCTCAGGTATACTCTGGGTCACTGGCTTTCAAAAATTCACCTTTTGTACCTTATTTACATCTAAAGGATGCATATTAGTACCTATTAGTACTTAAATTGTACATTTTAGTACATTTTGAATGGGTATATCCACCCTAGTTTTTGTACCTTAAATACCTCGATGTGCGTTTGACCTTCTGCAGAGGTGAAGGGCGAGGCTGGCATTTTTACACTGCAATTTTAGAGTAAAGTGTCAGAAATATGTGTGGAATGACACACAGCTGAAGCCACAAGAACAAAGGCAGCAAAGTGATTGATCGGTCCTGTCTGATCAGGTGGAGCTGTGTTTAAGAATTTGCTTACACTAAAAGTGAAGTGAACTGACAAGATGTTGGTGGCTGATAAGTCTCTGTGGTTTAAAGGGCAGGACGCCCCCCCTCCATCATAAAACATCACTCAGCCCACTCACTGCTGATAAATACACACTTTCACAATGCACAAACACACATTTACACGCTAACACGCATCTACACACACACTTCGTCGTTCTGTGCGATAACTTTATACACACTTTCACCTATAACACACATCAGGCCACTCCGCATTCTTCAAAATCAGGCATTTACCGCTAATATGTCATTGTTCTGAGATGACAGACGCTGAAAGCTTGTACAGCGCTACAGTTTAAATGCTTTATTAATCATCAACTTCCACTTAACCAACACAAATGGCAAATCTTTAAAGTTATTTTTAACCGTCAAAAATAAAGTCGTTCCAGTGAAATTTCAGATAGTACATAAAATGATCAGTAAGTCATGGCAATTTCTTGACTTTAACTAATCAAAATAACTTGTATGTCAATCAAAAATGACTGATTTTTTTTATATAATTATTATTTCAATGAAAAAATTGTACTACATCACAGTAGATTATTTCTGAAGTGAAAAAAGTTGTAAACATTTACATTTATTGTTATGAAAAATGCACAAAATAATCATCAAATTTTATATGAAATTTATTTTCCAATAAAATCAAAGCCATAAATCTAAACAAGTTGTGTTCCAAATTTTAGGTTGATATCTCAAAAATGAGATCCATTTGTGACCACGAACAAATGTGACTATATATATATATATATATACTATATATACATTATAAATACAAGTGCCAAAACCTTTAACATGTTAAAAAAAACTTGCAACAAAAATAAAAAAAATTGAGATACAGCTTGATTTAAGTTTAAAATTAATTGTACAACCAAGTTTTTAAAGTTGAAAAATTTGAGTTGTCTTTTGTTTTTGTATTTCATAGTAAATCACTTTAAGGTCAACATTTTTTAATTAATAGATATTAATAATTTATGAGTAATCACTGTGCATAACACAATTGTTTTGAAACTGAACTTTTCTGAAATGTGGTTTAAATATACAAATTAGGCATTATCTATTTAAAAATGCACTCAATTTCTTAGATTTCCTTATATTTCCAGAAAATTAATCTGAACATTGGATAAAGCCAGATTCAAAATTCTTGTTTGATTTTGTTGACATATAAGAGCTAAAGGTTTTTACTGAAGGAATTTTTGATATCTCTTTTTATCACTCCATGAATCAGAAAATACGGTCAATCGCCATGAAAAAAACACATTTTCAGCATGTTTTTAGTAATATAAATCAGTGAGAATGATATATGAACAAATCCTTCTGTATAAACCTTCACATTATAGTTAAGAATAAAACTGTAAATTTTGGTGTAGATAAGTGATGCTGAAGTGGAGAAAAAAACTTTAAAGATATGTATTGTAATTGAAATCTACACACGCAGATAGTGAAGTGCGTTAAAATAAAAACTTGCATTTCTATTTTGCATGTTTTCTTGTCACTAGTTTGATAGAAGACATGTTATGGAAGCAAATTAGACCACATTTAGTGTCTCTATTTCATTTATAATTTAAAAAAAGTCGTGGTATTGACTTTGAACTGGTAAATAATCGGATAGCAACACTGACCCACAACACACTACCAACTCCATTGCAATGTGCCACTTATTTACCAACACTCTATAGCAACGCCCTAGCAACCACCCACTGTACTCTATCGTCATGCTGGTGAGTTTTGCACAGCCCTTGTGTTTCACTGAGAAGATATAAATATCTAATTCTCTGTATAATTAAATCATTTTCTGTTATTGTAATCATCTGTAATTAGTTTGAGTTGAACTGATGTTTTGTAGTGATGTATCTGGGACGAGTCTCTCCCTGTAGATCCAAGTGCGTGTTAGACCTCACATCATTACATAT